CCTGGCCAGTAGTAGTCTTGACGAACCCCATGGTAAGTCTTGTTGAAGCCGTAGTGGGAGAATGCTCCATGGGCCAGGTGTAGAATAGTGGGCCGCAGGCTGGTGGGAATCACAAGTTGTTCGATGTTGGCCCAATCGTCCTCCTCCTTCAGTTTACTGGGTCTATATCTGCGGTAGAGCAAGTCGTTCTCTAGGAAGAACCCAGGAATACTGTCGGGTTGAGTCTCAGCCTGGAAAAACAATGGTGTTAAAGTAAGATCTTCCCTCTGCAACTTACGGAACTCCAACTTGGTCAGATGCGGGGGTAGTTTCTGAGGGTCTTGAGGGACAGCGGTGGCAGTAGAGTCAGCTGGCTGTGGACGTGCGGCTTGTGCACGGGTGGTCACGAGAACCGGAGGAGAAACTTCATCACTCTCTTGAACCTCTGCTGGAACATACTCGAGAATAGGATTTATTGGCACAGAGTTACACACCTGGGGTTTGTTCATGACGATCAGGTTGGTCGGTTGCAGGTCTTCTGCCAAGTCGTTGCCTAGGAGAAGTTGCACTCCAGGCATGGGAAAAGGCTTTTCCCTGACGGCGACTTGGACTTCCCCGTTCACGTAGGGACAATCCAGGTGGACTCTGGCGAGAGGGTATGGAGTAGTAGCAGTGAGGTCGGTGATGAAGACCGTTTCCCCGGTGTAGACTATGTTGGGCACAGCCGACTTCAAGATGATTGATTGTAGAGCCGCTGTGTCCCTCAAGATCTTCAATTTGAAACGTCCCTCCGGATTTGAACCGTTGGCAGAGACAGTTCCAGTATACAGGTGGTTACTGAAAAGAGAAAGATCATTAACATCAACACCAACATTCATCACAGGCTTACCGGACTTAGGAGGAGTTGGTTTGGGTCGTTGTTGGTCAGTGGTTCCCTTGTATTGAGACTTACCACACTTGTCTATGGTATGTCCATAGAGTCTACAATACTTGCAGTACAGTTGTGAACCAGCTTGATCGGGGCTCACCTTCTCGTAACTGTACCACGACTTCTTACTGGAGGATGGTTCAGGTGTCAGCCGGTGGATGAGGCTGTAAGTGTCAGCCGACTTAGCACACTTCAGGTAGTCGGTTTCTTCTTTATCTGCTAAGTAGAGGCGGACAGGAGGCGGCACACGTCTCAAGAATTCTTCAACAAGCATCAGGTTGACGAGTTCTGTAAAAGTAGAGACATGTGCTGCTTCCAGCCATTTCATGAAATACCTCCGTTTCGTGTTAGCAAACTCAAGGAAGGTAGTGGTACTTGCCTTCAGGTGGTCACGGAATTTCCTTCTATAACTTTCAGTAGAGAGGAGGTAGGCGTCCAACACTGCTTGGTTCAGAGTGTAGTAGTCATTCTCAGACGCCAAAGTACTGAGTGTGACTGCAGCTCTACCTGTAAGATGGACTCTGAGAAGTGTGGCCCATTGGTCGACAGGCCAACTGAGTTGATTAGCAAGGGTTTCAAAGGTGGTAAAGAACACATCAACTTCTGCTTCTACAAAGGATGGCATTAACTTACTTGCATGTGATATATTAAAACTGACGGGAAGATTGGCAGTAGCTTGTTGGCGTTGAGTGAAGTGTGAAGTTTCCAAGGCGATTTCACGTTGACGACACTCTAGAGCCAGAGTCGCTTGTTGTTTGTCATGTTCGCGTTGCATCTCCAACTCTCGTCGTTTGGTTTCAAGCTGTACTCGTTCCCGCTCCTGGAGTGTTTCAAGCTGTACTCGTTCCCGCTCCTGGAGTAGGGCAACCTCACGTTCCTGGAGGGCGAGTCCGCGTTCTTGTTCTTCTCTTCGTATGGCAGCTGCTCGTTCTTGTTGTTCGAGGGCTTCCCTTTGCTGCTCACGTTCAATCTTGGCCAGCTCTAGTTTGAGTTTCAGCGTTGCCAAATCAGTTTTATCTGCAATATAGTAAGTTTCATGAGTTTCAGAGTCTATCTTACCTTGCTCTAAATAGTAATCCAGCAACAGGTTGTGTAGGTCATTTTTGTTGGCTTGGTAGGGAACTTCTAGTTGATACTCATGTGCAAGAGTTTGTAGTTCAGTCCTCTTGGCACGACTTAAAGTCCCTATTTCACCTGCTGGATTTGCACGGAAAGTTTGGAGACGAAACATGGTGAAATTAGCAAATAAAGGTACACGAATGTTCAATAATGAAATGTCAGAAACAGGACAACGTGGCAACTGGTACCTATCCTGTGTGATCTTTAACAATTAACGTTAAGTGAAAGATATTAAATGATTAAATTAAATCAAGGGCGCAGGAAATCTTGTACCCGGTACTCATGTAAGAGAATAAGGGCAAGAAAATCCTACTAACAAATGAAACAAAGTTTCGAAAACAAATGAAACAGTTAAATGCTTCAAAAGTAAAATTGGTAGTCCAAGGATGTAGGCATACCTTGCCAAGTCTCTATAGGACATAAAGCAAGTTTTTCCTACTGAATTTAATATGATACTTACAGAATTAGCGAACTTTTGTGCTCTGAAAAAATAAGCTAATTCCCTACCGTTGTATGTATCATCATCTCTGACTGACGTGTAGGGGTGCGAGGTGTCAACTGGTGACGAGAACTGCTGCTGAGGTCCCAATTCAGCAACTAAAGTTCGAGCTAGAGGAACTATGGCCCTCTTTGTCCTCCTACAGTCAGATTGCAGAAGATTGGGTACTCTTGACCCGGGGCAGACCACAGTACCAGGGTACCAATATGATGATCTGTCAGAATGAGAAATATTCAAGGGACATAGATGGTAAATACGAGTAATAACATGGAGGGAGAGATGACCAATTAAGAGTATGACTGAGGCCTACAGTCACCACGTAATCCAAAGTTGTCTCACCTTCACTATATGTTACTCTCGTAATGCACAATACACCGCACCTTATAAAAAATGAAATTGAATGAAAAATAGTAAAGCTACGTTAACAAAGTTAAATACGCTTACCATAAATTACCACTTGGCACCAGTACCTGAGTGAAGCTCCCGGACAGGCCCCCATATAACTTGTGACGGTAACGCGTTGGTGTTCGGCTGTTTAAGGCTAGGGGTATGGCCTCGTCACATAGTTATAAAAAAAAATAGAAAAACTGGAACTTCGTCTGTGGTAAGGTAAGGAGAAGACACACAAAACACAAGTAAAACTTTAACAATGAAATTTTAATTACGTTAAATAAATCAAAACATGAAAATATGGACAAACAAATTCTTATAATAAAATCAATGAATCAAAATAATAAGAATACTTAAATGACACAATGAAAGTTACGTTAAGGCAAAATAATAAGAAGTGCAACACAAAAGTTAAGTGGGAGGTGCTGGAATATTGGCTTAAAGCCACCACCTCTCTCAGTACACGCTAACGTCTAGCTGGGAGGAGTGCTGGCTACGAAAGCACGGAACATTCTGAGGACTGATGTTGGGGCGACCCCAGACATCAGGTAGTATTGGGGCGAGGCAGGTGCAGCCAGACCGGCGACCAATCAGCGGAGTCGTAGCGATCAACGGGTAGTTTGGTGGTTGGAGTTCGAACAGGTGGCTGGTTGCATACGTTTCTGCTCACCCTGGCAAGCCTTGCTGGTGTTTGTTGTCGTTGTTGGACATTTCTTCCATAGTCTTTTATATAGTTGTGAAGACGTAATTTTGGAGGGAAGAGCAGGCTCAATCTCTTGAAGGAGATTATCGTCACAATATATATATATATATATATATATATATATATATATATATATATATATATATATATATATATATATATATATATATATTAAATAAATAAATAAATAAAACTGAAAACTCATCCCAGAAGTGACTTGAACCCATACTGCCAGGAGCACTTTGCAACTGGTGTACAAGCAACCCGTTCTCGCAAATTTAATAAGTCAATATTGACTTATTAGTTGCGTGCATAGGTGACATACTAAACATAATAGTTTCCCTTGAAAAGCTTCATAGAAAACACTGACCTTACCTAACCTACTTAGTATGTTAGAATAAGCATCTTATAGCTTCGTAATTACAATTGTTACTTAACCTATTATAGGTATAGGTTAGGTAATAATTGTAATTACGAAGCAATAAGATGCTTATCTTAACATACTAAGTAGGTTAGGTAAGGTCGGTGTTTTCTATGAAGCTTTTCAAGGGAAACTATTATGTTAAGTATGTCACCTATGCACGCAACTAATAAGTCAATATTGACTTATTAAATTTGCGAGAACAGGTTGGTACAAGGCACCTAATCCACTCAACCATCACGACCTGTACACCAGTTGCAAAGTGCTCCTGGAAGTATGGGTTCGAGTCATTTCTGGGGTGAGAGTTTTCAGTTGCATGTATGCCTGGGGACCATTCAGACTTGTTCGTATACATGTATATATATATGTGTATGTAATTTATTTATTAAAACATATTTTAATGTTTTCATCACTTGATTTAATGATTTAAAATGAAAACGATCACGTTTGGAAACATTTTGACATTAATTAGCCATTAGGTGAACATTTATAAAAATAAAACAAATGTCCATAATTGCACCATGAAATTTTTACCAAAAACATGTGTGCAGTGCAGGGGTTAAATATCACTACAGTAGTTCCAATAATACTGAACATTGTCCAAAAGTTGACTTGCAAGTTCTTTTGAACTTGCAAAAATTGCTAGACAGAATATTTTTTAAATATATTGCAAAATTTTTAATATATTTGGAATTTGTTATACCACAACCAACATAATTTGTTTCCTCACACTGTAATTAAAAAATATACCAGTTCATTACTGCAATTTAAAATGGAAACTTCAGCTTGTTGTAGTTAAGTCTTCTTGACTGATGCTGCATACAGTATTGTACTGTAATGTATATCTTGAATACAGTATATAATTTGTGTTTTTTCTATATAGTAAGTGGCATTGTTTTATTTGAAATGTAGGCAATGTTGTGAATTTAAAATAATTGTATCAATACCTTTGAAACTTCAGTTGCGCCAAGGAGATCATCTCGTATTGTTGAGAAGAATAAGCTGTCCAATGTAAAAGCTGGTCAGTTTGCCTGTAGCAAGGATTTAAAAATAAGTCTTAAAAGGAATTGTAAAATGACTATGCTGTCCAGCACTTCATCAGGGAAAGGTATTGAGACTTTGCTTGCTAGTACATCATCAAATACAGGCAAAATGAGCCTTAAAGGAAGCAGTCTATCATCAGAAATTCAAAATTGCAGATTTGTATTAAAGGGAAATCTCTGGTCATGTGATGTGTCCCATACAATTCCGGAAACAAACTCTGCCATAATTAACACTAAGAAAAAAATTAAAAGACCGGTTTCTTCAAGAAGCATTCAAACACGTCAAAGCAACACATACAGTTCTTTGAATGGCTGTTCAAATAGTCATGCAAATAAAAAGGAGACTCAAAGAGGAAAGAGTAGAATTGACAAAATGTCAATTGCCAATGACAAGAAATCAGACGTGGGTAAGACAGGCAGGAGAAACACACAAGGAGCTACTGGTCAGTCATTACAGACAACTAGTCAAAAGATCCAACAAAATAAAGTGGCAGGTCCAAGCTCTCAGACTGGCTTGATAGGACAAATTTCAACCGTTCATCCTAAAGAAAGAAGTATGAAGAATACTAATAATTTAAAACAATTGCCAAGGAGTGTTTCTAAACAAAATGGTTATAAAGCAACCCAAAAACTCCAAAACCAGAGTAATGTACAAGCTTTGACATCATTTGCTCTGAAACCCGATTCTTCAAATAATGTTAAACCTGAAGCCAAGAAAAGTCGCATTCCAATTTCATTGTCCATGACCAGACTATCCCATACCAAAAGATCTGTAAATCGTGAGGAAATGGTTACACATTCTGCCACAGTACGCAGGAAGGTAAAGGAAGAAATGACCACCTCGATATCGGGACAGCCCTCGAGTAAGTTTCAGTATTGGAATTTTGTTTGTAGTTAGGTCAAGATTCAATTATAAAATGATCTTCTAGTTCACTTACAGATATGTAGTAGTTTTATTGAAATGTAAGATATTGTCTAATACCTTGTAGAACATTAATTATTTGGCTGCAATGGTCATTGAATGTTGCAGAACTTGTAACATAAGCTTCACTGTTTTGATGCATTGGGTGTATTCCAGACAGTTGGAGCTTGTTTTTAGCAGAGGTGAGACTGGCTGTGAAATGAACATTTTAACTAGTTAAATAAGGTGGTTTATTATAGATGTGGGCAAGTAGTGGTTGGCAGTGATTCTGCACTCTCTCCAAAGTAAAGCAAAGCAAACAATTACATGCACCAGTCATTTCCCCTTTTAATCAAATTAACTTTTTCACTACTCTCAGCTGATGCCTTTTGAGAATTTCTTGTAGTTTCCCTAATTTAAAACTTTTCAAATCCACTACTCAATGATTTACACTTCAAGCATCTAGCTAGGCTGTCAAAATGTTAAAAATGTTTGAAAACTTTATTAAACACTCAGGGTTCTGATATATGGCATTTGGTAAAATACCTGGTTGATCCCTGGTTGATGGGGTTCTGGGAGTTTTTCTACTCTCCAAGCCCGGCCTGAGGCCAGGCTTGACTTCTGAGAGTTTGGTCCACCTGGGTGTTGCTTGGAACAGCCCGCAGGAAAAAATAATTGTGAAGGTCTTCTTTAGTAGTAAGTAGTAGTAAGTACAGTAGTAAGATATGTTGCCAATTTTGGAGCCAAGAATAGATAAGATACCTTAACTGGAATAGGTGGTTCTAGACTTCTGATTGAGATTTATTTGATTCCATTTTTGTTAACCCTTAAACTGCTCGGGGCTGAATGGCCTTCAACACCGACAGGCACCAAAAAAGTGTTCATTTGTGTTCCTGATCACGAGGGGGGGGGGGTGGATTGTAGGTGTCATATTTTGCCCATAATAGGTCGAGGAAGTCTGGAAAAATTGAGGCGTTGACAGTAATCATCAGAGGCGGTCAGCTCCGCCACAGCTGTCAGGCGGGAGTTGCTACAAAGATATTATCTAATTATTTCAATGTCTGATTTTTTTCTCCAGTAATATTATTCAATAGTGTGTAGTGTGATATTTATATAATAAAATGTGTGAACCATTGCTATACTCAAAAGTATTGTGAGCATATAAGTGACTCAATTATTAATTATGTACATAAAACAACAAACAGATTATTTTATAGTTATTACACTATGTACACAGGTTATATATAAGTATCTGCATGTTTTGTTTACCATAACCATGTTTACCATGTTTTTGTTTGTGGTGTTATTACACACACGTTATACGTATCTACACGTTTTGTTCACCATAACGAACTATGCTGGTATGGTGCCCAAAGAGCAGTGGCCACCCTGTACACAGCATGACAAGTTATGCAGATGATGCCATCTCCCTCACCAAAATGGCTTCTCCCAACATACTCCTTTTGCTATTATACTATATATACACATTATATACAGTATATAAGTACAGTGGAACCTCGGGTTACGAATGTCCCTGTTGACGAGTTTTTCAGGTTACGAGCCCGATTTGTTCAGAAAATTTGCATCGGGATATGAGCATTGCATCGGGTTGCGAGTTTGTTGATATGCATATGGACCGACCTAGCGCGTGGTGGCACGGTGATCACACCTCGGTTTACCAGGGCCTCGCGCTCAGTGACTATTCCGCCCGAATTCTTCACGAGGATTTACAGTTTTTTTGTCGGATTTTTGGCCATTTAAGCACAAGTCATTATATATCTCGCCATGACTCCCAAGAAAGCCAGTGGTAAGGTTCAAGGCAAGAAATCGCATGTGAGGATGACAATAGAGGGGAAAAAAACCCTGTAAATATAACTGATATCAGCACGAGCGTGGCAGATTATGAAAGAGAAATTGACAATATGCCAATGCATTCAGCCCCGGGTCCAGACTCGTGGAATTCAATATTTATAAAGAAATGCAAAGTGCCAGTAGCACAGGCACTCGGTATAGTGTGGAGGAAGAGCTTGGACACGGGGGAGATACCTGATGCGCTTAAAGCAGCAGACATAGCCCCTATACACAAGGGAGGTAGCAAAGCATTGTTAAAGAATTATAGACTAGTTGCACTATTGTCCCATATAATAAAAGTATTTGAGAGAGTGATCAGGAGTCAGGTCACTAGTTTCATGGAAACCAATGACCTCTACAATCCATGCCAACATGGATTTAGAGCAGGAAGTTCATGCCTTTCACAGCTACTTGACCATTTGTGTTTACCATAGTGAACCACTAAGCTGGTATGGTGAGTGCGGACAGTAACAGGTGGCCACACAGATTCGACAGACGAAGCTACCGCTCTCCTTCCCTTAACATTACTACTCCCATAATGCTACGCATAGCACAAATTATCCCAACAATCCTACTATTATCAGAAACCTGGTAATTTTCATCAGTCGGGTTTTCTGTAGTACAATCATCGCTAAATAATACCAGTTACATGTATATTTGTTCATTTTTTGTGTGATGCTGTGGTCATAAGCTGAACAGCAGTGCAGTGAGCTCATGCTGCATGCGCCAGCCCTAGTGGTTCACTCAGTACCGAGGCTCTCACACCCGGGAATGTTGCCCACAATTTTTTTTTAAATGGCAGCTGTTTACAAGAGCCCTGAGGAAGTTGATGTGAACCCCGTGTAGCTGCGGGACTTTTAAATCTTGCACGTTACTCCAAAGCAACACAAGATGTCGTGTGCAATTTATCGACAGTTACTCAAGACATATGATGTTTTGCGCAGTTTAAGGGTTAAGGCAATTGATAGAATGTTTTTTCACGTGTTGATAAAAATAAAATTACGTACTATTTTTAATGGCCTTTTAATGTTTACTAGGGTTGTAAGTTTGATCTAGTGGAAAATTTTAGATTGTCCGTGGGGCTTATCAATTTGATCACTAGCCAATATTTAAAATCCTTTTTTTCTTATTTTCTCTGTTCATGGTCACCAATTCTAGAAAATTGTGGCAATTGAATAATAGTCCTTTCCTGCATCTTGACTTCGATTCCACAAATAGTAATTTATGGAGATACTGTGTGAGGTTTAGTGGTTATATTAACTTTAGATGCCAATTTAAAAGTTGAGTGTATTTCAAAGATCTATACTGCATGCATCATACTCAAATTTGCACTATTATCATATGAAATTTAAAGAATTATCTTAATTTTCAGATAGTTAAAAAAAATTGAAAGTTTTAATCTTGCTGACCAATGCTGTTTACTAATATTGTACAATTGACTTTAGAAGTAAAGAGTAAAAAGACATTTATATAATTCTAACAGTCTTATTGTTTCTTAACCACTGTACTGTGCAGAATGCCCTAAGGTGCTCTTTTTTTTTTTTTAATAACCATTAAACTGCTAGGGGCTTTTGACCCCCAACACCACCAGGTGCAACCCCCTCCCCCCCCCCCCTCCAAAGTCTTTCATCTTATAAAAGTGTTCATTTGTGTTCACCGATCACAGGAAAGAATCGTAGGTAATATATTTTGGCTGCAATAGGGCAGGGAAGTTTACCAAAAAAAAAGTGTTGACAGAGCAAGCGTCGGAGGCAGTCTGCTCCTTCCTGAGTTGTCAGGCGGGAGTCTGGCAACAAGATGTTATTACCTGATTATTTCAATGTGTGTGGTTTATTTTTTTAGTTTTTTGTGGTAATATTCAATAGTGTGTAGTGTGACATTTATATAGTGTGTGAACCATCACTATACTCAAAATGGTTGTGCATATTAGTAATTCAATTATGTTCATAAAACAATAAACAAATAGTTTTGCTGTTATTACACTATATACACAGGTTATATATAAGTACTTTTATCTGCATGTTTTGGTCACCATAACGAACCACTAAGTTGGGTGAGTCAAAAAGCAATGAGGAGTGGCCACCCCACACCAGCCACTAGCCGCCACTCCCTTCCTCACTCGACAACATTCTCCACCCACCATATTTTTTTGCTTTTATTCACTATATACAGACGTTATATAAGTATCTACATGTTTTGTTTACCATAACTGTACATCTAAACTGGTATGGTGAGTTCAGGCAATAACAGAAGTCACTACATTGCTAATGGTCCCTCCCTTCCCTCACTCGTTCAAGGCCAAACACACTAACATTCCTCCTCGAACCATTAGTGATGTTATTACACTATATATATACACATATGTAAATATCTACATGTTTTATTCACCATAACTGCACAACTAAACTTGTATGGCGAGTTCAGGTAATAAGAGACGTAGCTACACAGTCAGCTGGTGGCTGCCGCCCTCACTGGTTCAAGGCCAGAGACACTAATATTTCTCGTCCAACAATACCATTTGTGGTGGTATTACACTATACAGTATACACATTATATAAATATCTACAAGTATATACATGTTTTATTCACCGTAACTAGAAATAAGCTGGTATGGTGCCCAAAGACCATACTGTGTACTGTGGCCACCAGTACACAGCATGACATGTCATGCAGACGACGCCACCTCCCTCACCAAAATGGCTGCTCCAAACATACTCCTATTGCTGTTATTACACTATACACATGTTATGTATAAGTATCTACATTTGTGTTTACCATAGCGAACCACTAAGCTGGTATGGCAAGTCCAGTCAATGAAGGGTGTCCACAGTTAGAAGACGATGACACCTCCCTCCCTCAGCATTACTACTCCCATCACAGACCTCCCATCATCATCATAGAGCACAGTGCTAATTATCACCACAATCCTACTATTATCAGAATCCTGGTCATTTTTATCAGTCAGGGTTCTTCTCTAATACGATCATCACTAAATAATAGGTTCAGATATACTTGTTACATTTTTAGGTGATGCTGTGTTCTCATGCTGAACAGCAGTGCTGTTAGCTCATGCTACATGTGCCAGCCGTGGTTGCTCACTCGGTACCGAGG